GATTAAATGCTCAACATGGTGTTAATTTAAGCACACCTACGTCTTTTAGCAATCCTGTTGCTGGAGGTAATAATAGTATGGACATGGGGGTAGTTGTTCGCTCTAGCAGACCTTTCGCAATGGTCGATAAAATTACAAAAGGATCTTCAGCAGTAGTAGATGGCTTACAGCTTGGAAATCAAATTGTAAAATTTGGGAATATGAAAATGGGTGAGAACTTGGTACAGAAGCTTACTACTGAAGCTCAGATAAATCAGAGCCATGCAATGCTTGTGGTAGTTATGGGGCAAGGTGTTTTCATAAATTTGACCATAAAACCCAACTCTTGGCAATGTCATGACCTACTTGGTACGTTACATTCTAATCATATTTTATATTTTTCCCTTTTGTTTAAACTATGTTTCAATTGGTCAATAAATCTCATTTATGCAAGCGAATCATGAAATGTTCAATTTCAACAAATCATCTTGAACTAAAAATATGCTAATGTTATATATTTGAATTCTGTTGATTTTATACAATAAGATCAATAATACATAAGTTTCTTTTAATTTCGATAGTCCAATAATATTCCTTGTTCTAATTAAGTTTTAAATAGAGATGGTTTGATGCTCTTTTAGAATTTAATGAAATTTTATGCTTTCCCTTTACTTCGTGCAACGTTAAGAAATATTTGAGTGAATTTAACATTATTCTTCTTGATAGAATATACAAAACTGGTGTGTGTACATTAACGCTTTCCTATTTAATCATCTAACTTTGTTCGGTGAACAAAAAATTTTGTGAGCAACTATTTTTATTATATATACATTACATATTTCTTTATCAATGCATGAATTGATTTTATGGGAAACTTAATAAAAAAAATTTTACTAATTTTATTATTAATCTAAATTCTAACCAACAATGTTATTTTTTCAGAGTAGGATTACAGTCATCCTATATCTAAAGACGATTAATCTTACATGGTCGAAAATATATTCACTTTCAATGCTGATAAATATGCTAAGATGGAATTTGGATTGAATTATATGATGATATGTTTCCTTACATTATGCTATATTGTTATGTTTCTTAGTATATGATATTTTCAATTTTTATTAATCGAATGATGAACATATGAAAAGATAAAT